AAATGAGTGTTGTTTGATCAAAGAGAATTGAGAAAAAGTGTGAGAATATTATGGCGGGGCCCACACAAAAAAAAACCTCCCTCTAAAATGAGGAGAAGTGTAGGAAATAATTGGTAAAAATATAATAAAATAATAAATAAACAAATAAAAATACTACTAATAATAAATAATGAATATATTTTTATTTATTATATTTAAAATAAAAGGGATGATTATGTGAAGATTTTTTGTGAGTTGCAAGCATGGTCAATCGTGCTTGTGCAAAACATGGTGTTGGAGCCTATCCCTAAAGGGATTTTTAAAAATAACTATAATAAATAAATAAATATAAAAATATTTATTATGTTTAAATAAAATTATTTATAAAAAATATTTTTTTTATTTTTAAAATAATAATAATAATAATTTATTTATTTATTTTTAAACAAACTTATCTATATAAAAAAATTTCAACTTCTACTCTATTTTTCTTTTATTTCTTCCTTACTAAACAATTTTTATTTCTATTCTTGTACCTACATGGGTGTACATCCACACTTCTCTCTCTAATGCCTTCACTTTTCTTCATTTTTTAAATCAGTTTTCTTGCAACTTTGAGGGAGTTATACCTACAAAAAACACTCTGATTCTCAATTAATAAACTCACTCGATTTAATAAATGAGAGTATATTATGAACAGTAACTTTACCTTGATATATGATACTATTTATACTTATGATGAGTCCACATTCTATCTTGATTAGGCTTAATTATCCTGATTATCTTGATGTATGATGACTTAGATATTCAATTTCGAGGACATCCAAGAGTGTTGAGCAAGCATAAGCATACACACTTAAGTGCATAGGTGGCTTGGAGTTTCAAAGGGTATGAACCATGTATGTGCAAATGTAAGTGGTTAGTGTTGCAGAATAGGTATGAACCAAGTGTATAGGTGGTCAAGGGTGTCAAACGAATATGAACCATATATGTGCAAGTCTATAGGTAGTTGAAGGTGTCGAACAAGTACAAACCATGTATGCACAAGTACATAGGTGACTGAGGGTGCCAAACTTTGTGCAAGTGTATAGGTAGTTGAAGGTGTTGAATAGGTATGAACCATGTATGCACAAGTGCATAAGTGGCCAAGGGTGCCAAACAGGTGTGAACCATATACATGCAAGTGCATAGGTGGCTAAAGGTGTCGAACGGATAGGAACCATGTACGCTTAGGTACCCTTGACATCAAAAGATAAACTGTCCATCTTTTTTTAAAAACTCCTTGAGTATCTTAAGATGAACAAGGTTATGTTTAAATAGCTTCTACTGCTTCTTCAAAGCAATGTTTTGTAATCACTCTGGCGCTTCTGATGATTAAGTTTCTTAGGAAACAAAAAGACGTGTTTAACAAACCATTAGATATCTTCTAATCCAACTGTTTGGAAGGTTTATGTTGTTTCATCTACCCTAAGTGAGATATTATAAGTAGAGTTAAGTGCCAACTATGATTGCTACATTTGAGTCGAATGTGTTTCTACTTTCATCAAAATTTGTTGAATTAAATAGGTGTGTTTTCTTTTTTTCAAGTGGCCATTGAGGGAAGTAGCCACCATGGATGAGGTGTCTGACCATTCCTCAACATAGGATTCTAATGAAGTGTCATCATTGGAGACTCTATCAAGTGACTCATCGTCAAGCTCATCTAGGTTCATGGAATCGAATCCTAGAAACGATCATTAAGCCAATGTCGAGGTGGAGGCTACAATGGTTGTTCAAGAAGCTAAGGATCAATAGGAAAACAAAGATGTCCTGCAACCGGAGTTGTCCTCCATTGATTCAGTCCAAATGACCAAAATGGGGAAAGACACAAATTCGAAGTAGGGTATATGATCCTGTCACCATTTCTGGATAAAATGGGTGCATGGAGGTGGTTTCCTTTTATTCCTAGTAAAATGAATTTTGTTTGATTTTGAATTTGTTGTCGTACACAAAATTTTTAATTTTTGATGAAGAGAAAGATTTTTTTCCAATAGATCTCAAGTTGTGCTAAAAGGATGGAGAGTTGAATCTTGATTAAGTCTCCTTTAGTAGAGCTTCGACCAAGGTGGACTCTTTTTATGTTTATGACTTTTGGTTTCAGGACCTAAAAGTACGTTTACCCTTTGACGATTTCTTCATAGGAGTACTGTGGGTTCTAAATGTGGCATTAACACAACTATACATTCAAATAGCGGGGCCACCAAGCAAGCATTCGATAACCTTTATTGTTGTCTGAAAATAAGGCCAACTCCCTCACTATTTATGCATTTTTATTATTGTCGACCAAGTGACAAAATGAAATGGGTGTCTTTGGCTTGAATATCCAAATATTATCTCCTAGAATGTTTTACCTCTTCATATAAAAACTTTAAGATTGAATTTTTCAAGGTGATGATTAGTTGAACGACAGGAAATTTTTCTATGATGAGAATGATAAAAGTTTATTCCCTTTTTATTAGATGTGTGTACGTAGACGCTATGACTAGTTGCCCAAAGAAAACCTTTTGACTAAGGAACAGGTCAACCTAGGCGTGCTACTAAAACTCTCTTGATGGTTGGCTCTTAGGCACTGTATAAACTTAATTGAATCGCCTCAGATTGACTATGATCTATTAGGTAGTTGTTCTGATTACTCATCTCGTATTGATTTTTACATTGTTTCTTGGCAGGAATGATGGTGCACAATGGAGGCAACAAGCTTAACATTCAAAATTTGGTGGTTGGGCGAGTTCAATAGGTGAAAAATATTAGACTATTATCGTCTGGTCAAGATGCCCAGCCATCGAGGATGATCCTTGACAACATGGTTTTCCACCTAAACCTCAACTAAAGGCAAAGGAGGAGAATGACCATAAGGGCAAAAATTCCGATTGAGACAACTATCACAAGAGGAAAGAGGATGAGAAACATCAAGAAGAAAAAGTGAAGAAACATAAATAATAAACACTTCATGATGCCCCCTGCATGACGTTGGTGATACCTTTGACCGTCTTCAACCATAACTTTTTGAACTTGGAGGTTGATGCCATAAACATTTTGATCCAAGAGATGATATTCACTTAGGGATGATACTACCTTGAGAAGATTGATACATCAACTAAGTGGAAGATTTTTTGTGAGTTGCAAGCATGGTCAATCGTGCTTGTGCAAAACATGGTGTTGGAGCCTATCCCTAAAGGGATTGAGCTGAACC